TACATGGTACAACTACGCTGTTTCATTTTCTATACGTTTTTAAATCTTAACTAGACAAAATAGCAAAATACAGGTTTAAGTATTATTAAAGCAGCTAATAGAAAGTCTGACCAAACTCCTTTCGGAATGTTAAAATAAAAAATTCGTTGAGTAAAATTACGAATAGTACAAAAGAACACATGATAGTGCATCCAAAATAATTGACTATATCGGATTGTAAAAATTTTAAAAATACGGACGGTAAGCGGGTTAACGCAACAATACTACGACACCGTAGCAGCGCTACGCACTGCTACATGTGGCCAGGTGAGTAATGCATAGACGATATCACGCAGTCGTAACGCAACTTATTATGGTTACAATTTAATGTTATGTTAATAATTTGAATTTTGTTGATGAATTTTTGTTGTTTGAAATTTGAAAATATTCAGGACTGGTTTTCTGTATAGGAGTACGCCTGGGCCTGGTGCCGCCAAATAGCAGTATTTGCACTGCTGTGTACTGATTTGCAAGGTATAGAGAGCCAGTATAGTGGCTGTTGGGCATTCCATCTTAGTTGACAGAGGTGATAACGCATCTTCAGCCTTCATTGTTTTCAAGTCTCCATGGACTGTAGTAGCCACTGACTATCAGTTGCCGACTTCATGAAGCAAAACTAAAATAAAATAAATCGAAAAAGAACATAAAATATACGTAGAACACATCGATAGAGAATAAATCGTCAAGATATATCACGGCTAAAAGCCTAAGTGTTGTAACTCCTTGGTTTAGCTGGCTACAACTAGGTTTTTTTTTATAGAAAAGGGTGACAAACGAGCACACAGTCCACCTAATGGTAAGTGGATGCTGTGGCCCATAGACATCTACATTTATAATAAACTAACAGTCTTAGTCTACAGGGGTGACATTTGTCACCCCTGAGGACTAAAATAGAATGCCTCGTTTCCAGTAAAGAACGGTCTCCGGATATCTATTCTGTGAAAACGTGGTTCTTCCCCAGTCAAGCGACTGTTTAGTACTACAACCATAATATAGCTGCAGCGTGGCATAATAGGTCCAGGTGGTTGCGGTTACTAAAACTTAGGTTTATGCGAATTATTCATAACTAAAACTAGGTCTAGCCAGCTACTTTCGGGTAAAACCACAAACTAACGATAAATAAATAAAATTACTATGACTTCTATTAATTTTGTCAAAAACACGAAAATACCAATTAAATAAAATTTGCGACGGTATAAAATGAATGCGGGTATTTATATTATTTTTTAACAGCGATCAATTCCGAATATCCATGTACTGGCGTGGTAAGAATATCCATCAAACTAAGCGTGGCTAAGGACGGTAATTTAACCTTGTAGTGCCACATGGACGCGTTAGTTGATTTGGTTAGACGCTTCTACGCACCTTAGACATCAAGCGCTACATGCTCAGGTGCAAGATACATAAGTCTTTAACGTTTTAATTTTAAATACTTAGTTTAACTTTAACGTAAGAATCTAAATTTTACTTATGTTTTCTGCCAAACGGCAGTGCACCTACTGTACACCGGACGATAACGTATAACATGTAAGAGATACAACATAATAACCGTCTATGATGCATTTCATTATAGTGCTCAGGATTTAAGAAAGAATCATGTGGGTGGACAATGGAATACAGCTGCAAATCTAGAAAAAAATAAAAAGAATATGAGATCATATTTATAGAAGAAAAAAAACTCATTAACAGGTGTCATCATCATCATTCAGCCTATAAAAATTCATTGCTGAGCATAGGTTCCCCCCCCCCGTCCTTATGGTTTCCATTCTAAAGGAATTATAGTATCCTAAAGAACGCGTTATAACCACCTCATCCTTCAATCATAAATACCCAGGCTATCGACGAAAAGCAACATCAAAAATGCAAAACGTCGGATAATCCTCCACCTGCCTAATGTGACAATGAACAATATTGTAAAATAGTCTTTAATTGAATATTAGTAAAAAAAAAAAACAAATCTATCCCTCCGCCATTATATAAGTTTAAATATCGAATTTCAGAGCCATAAGCAATATATCAATTAGGCCGATTGCTCACTTTTGAAGTTTTACAGTGAGCGCTGGCTGGCTGGAGTTGCGGCGAGTCAAACTCGCTTTCGAGTATGTGCTTTTGAATTATTAGCTTCGAGTGCATGCGGTTTTAACAAATAAATCAAATTAAAAAAGATTTTGTGTAATAAACAAGTTTACACGGGGTTTGAAACCCAATATTTGACATATCAGAACAGTGTAGTGAATTTACAAAAATATTCATTACCACAAATTATTCTGTGGATGTCGTAAGAGGCCACAGAAGGAAATAAACCAAGAGATAGAGAGAGTCTCATAGGGATGACTTTGACATAGTTGCCACACATCGCAGGCGCGGTGGTAACCGAAACTTTTTTTGTTCAACTGTTATCAATATCTTTCTCATAAAAACTAGATATTAAAATCTGGATCTGAAGGTATGGCAAAACCTTGTGAGGCAATCTACGGGAAGGCCTATGTTCAGCTGTGGGCTGCTGTAACGCGTGAATGACTTGATGCACAACATGACATTAACAAAATTAAACCCAAACCTAAGCATACCACTGCAAGACTTCATGATACTATAAGCTCGTTTTGCGTAAATTGGACCAAAAATTAATATTCAAAAACTGAAGGTAGCCGGACTAACTATGACATTGGGACGTCAAACATCTCAGCCCCTCCTCAGAATTAAAAATAAGTAAAAGTAATGAAATAAACGCGATAAAATCCGTAAATTTAGTTTTATTCAATGCACATGACTTAATATAATATCCGAGGAGGGCTTTCTACGCGTAATATAAAAGGAAAACTCCGTCTTTGATTCGTCGTAAATATGCCCCTGTGAGGCAATCCATGTGGACCTATGAGGTCTTTTGGTAGCTGTAATGAATAAATGAATGAATTATTCTAGATTTATATGGGTTAAATTAGAATTACCCAATATTTTTGGGTAAAGTCCTTATAACTTTTTTTATTGTAGTACCTAATATCTGAGGTTTTACAATCTGGACCTTAACCTGACGTTAAAACTTCAACCTATTATTAATAGTATAAAATATTTCTGAGAGTAACTTCCAATAAAAGGTGCCTTGCATAAGTATTGAAAGGTAGTAAAGGTGCCTTTCATGAAAATTACCTACAAAAATATTTCACGCAGTAGAATCACGCTGCAAATATATTTATGGTTGCAGCACGAATGGGTCAGCCTGACCGGGGTAGGACCACGCTCTGTCAGAATACCAGCGTAAAATAACAGTTTAATGCTGCTGTGATTTGTAAAGTGAGTCTAGAAAACCGGAGATGGAGACACTTTTTACTGAAAACGAGACAATCCGACTCAGTATTCAAGGATCTGCATTTTTATTCTTTTTCGAGGATAGATGTAGATGTATATGGGCCCCATTATTCATCAGGTGGGCTGTGTGCTCGCTTGTCCCCCTTATCCTACAAAAAAAAATTCAATATTCCTTTGATGCAATACGGCACTTGCATTCTCTTCTGTTGTACACGCAAATGGTTCCAGTGCTTAAAGAGATATTGCTCTGTAATATCATAAAGGTAATAGACATATTTTTGTTCGTAGCACAAAAAGAGGATTTTGTTATTTATTTGTTTTATTTATAACACAACCTTTTAAATAATATCTACGGAGTTTTTTTTTTTGTTTTGTGTTTGACATACGCGGAGGTAAATTACAAAGAAATAAACTGATAATTAACAAACTTCCAAAATAATGCTTAACATGTGGCGGCGAAAGACAAACCTTATAATATTATCATCTTTGTTTTTAAGGTCGTCTTTGAAGTTAGCTGCAGGTGTCCACGGACTGCCGCAGCCACTTACCATCAGGTGGACTGTCAAATCGTTGTCACTTGAGTTTCACAAAAAAAATTATTTCAACACTTTAACATAAAAAGTATATATTAAAGTATGGATATATGGGCAACAATGTATTTTCATAAGCAAGCTTATATTGATATATTTGTATAGAATTTCTATGGGCATTAGTTACGCCCTTTGTATTTTTTGGTCTAATGAAATGCAATAAAGACATTTAATAAAACTAATTTTATGGATTTTACTGTCTTTGATTGAACTTATTTTTGGTTTAGGTTGGTTTACAATACTCAGGATCACTGTAAACTAAGTAAACGTATTTTATTTTGCGTAATTTAACTTATCCCCAGCTCTAGAGATCATATCGTTACAGCCTATTGTCCACTGTTGAGCCTAGGCTTTCCCCATAGATTTCCTAATAGGGGAGATATTTGCCATAGTTGCCACGATTGGCAAGCGGGTTGGCAACCGCAGTTAGTCGTCATGAGGACGACGCTACTGTCTATTCCTGATTTGTTTTTCTCTGTCGCCTATTGCGATACTCACGGGATGATATGTAAGAATATCAACTACCCCATATCATCTCGATATCATATTTATACATAAATACATAAACACTCACGCCTGTCACCCAGAGGCGTAGGCAGAGACTACACACTTCCATTTGGCACGATCCTGACACACCTCTCTCGCCTCCTTCACATCCATACACCTACGCATACATACTCATCGGTTAAGGGTACTCCTAATTTGGCCCGTTTTCAATAAATCGCCAATTTAGTCGATAAATTTGCACCTAGGACGTCCCTTTCCAACTCTGCCATTCACTTCTGCAACATAAATTTTCTTTGTCACTCTTTTCTCATTCATTCTTTCCACATGACCATACCACCGAAGTATTCCTTTCTTAACCCTTAAACCCTACCCATTCTAGGAGAAACACTATTGCTACCCAGGGGTTTTAAGGACCTCAGTATATAAAAATTCATACTTAAAAAATAAAAAACAATTTAATTACAATTATTATTTATTATAATAATCTGCTTATTAGACAATACAAAAAATTGTTAATGGATTTTGGTAACACATTCTTGGCACATAGCCTCAGTATGTTCACCGCAAAGAGGTTTTTGGGCACATGCCACAAGTGACCTTGGTTTTTCGATCCTTACCCCTTGGGCACATTGCACATCTTTTTTTAGCAGTGGGAGCAGAACTTGGTTCTTGCAATGGCCGCTTCTTTTGCAAGATTCCACCTAAGAGAACTTGAATATTCATGGGCAAAGAGGGCCATGTTAATCGTTCTTCCATTTGAGGGGTGATCAGTTCTATGGCAAGTTTTTTCAGGAAATGACGTCTTTTTGTAACTCTTTTTGTATCCATTTTAGCAGTACATATGAGTTAACACCTACTGTATTCAGAAGGCCAAAAAAAATTGCCATTGGCCACCTTTTTGATCTCCTAGATACGCTGTACTTGTGGCATAGCTGATCCATCAAATCGACTCCTCCTTAGTCTTATTATAATACTCTATCATCTCTGGTACTTGAATCGTTGCATCAGGATCTGCTGTTGCATGCATAGTTGACAACATGGGGACAATTTTTTTTGGCAAACTTTGCCGTGTTGCGATCACGATCTTTTAGCTCAAGAAAAGAAGATGGAATTTCTCTCTTGTTTCTACGTAGTGTACCTACAAGGGTCACCTGCTTTTGCAACCATTCTTTTGCTGCTGGTATTGACGTGAACCAATTATCACAAGTGAGGTTGCGGTTTGTGCCATGAATTGTTTCAGTCAATTTCAAAGTAAAGAAATGAGCAGCTGGTACATTTGTAGGGCATGAGCCTTTGCCCAAATATACAAAAGCATCTAACATATAGGCAGTTTTAGCATCGCAAGTCATCAAAATTTTTATACCATATTTATCTGGTTTACTCGGAATGTACATTTTGAAGATACATCTACCTCTAAAGCCCAATAACATTTCGTCTAATGTACAGCAATCTGAAGGGCTATATACTTTACTCGAAATTTTGACAATGTGATCAAAAACGTTTCTAATTGGTGCTAATCTATCATTTTGCTGTCGTTCTTCTCTGGTAGACCGGTCGTCAAAACGTAGACAGTTTGTCAGAAACTCAAATCTGGCTTGGCTCATGGTGGCACGAAAATAGCCAACATCTGAGTTTTTGTCAAACAAATCCTTGGTGGTGACGTGATTCATGTTGAGTACCCCTGCTAAGTAGTAAAGTCCAAATAAAGCCTTCATTTCCACCACACTTGTATCCTTAGCAAAAGAAGGACGTATTTTTGTGGAACTCGATGCGTCCGCGTTTTCGTCTTCCGTATTCTGTACAGGTCTGTCTCGTTTATATTTTTCTCTCTGTTTACCAATTTCAGTATTTGTATTTCTAACAATTTCTTCAAGCTTTTCATCAGAAAAAAATACTCCATGCTTTTAGCTCTGTTTATATTTCACGAGCTGCAGCTTTAGGTCCAGGAGGATGAAACAAAATATTTCTTCGTGGGACTCTAGACTTTGCTGGTTTTTCACCTGTCCACCTAAACCCGTCCTTGCCCTTCAGATTGTTATGAACAGGTAAGACACGAAGAAAATTACCTGAACTGTAATTACTCAGAGGTGTGTCATCTTCCGATGAAGAATTTTCTGTTTCATCATCTGGATGTTCTGCTCGAAAGTCTTCAATAATTCCGTCTTCGTTAACATCATTTTCGAGGTCAGGAACAGCGACTTCACATGCCTCTTCATCTTCTGATTGGTCTTCATGCAACCATTGAGTGATCTGTAGGTCCATCTTACGCAATTTTGATCGTTAAAACTAAAACAATGACATAAAACTCAATATTGAATAAACTGTTAAAACGAAACAACAAAATTGCTAGATCTGTATATGAACAAAATGTATATGGACGTTCTTAAAGAATGAAACACTATTAATAAAAATTATATTAATTAATTAATTATAAACACTATAATACATCAAATATTAAACTTACCATTTAAAATATTGTATCAAAAATAACTGCATTCACCAATGTATCGACAAAAAGAAATGACAAAATACTACGTTATTACTACCCTGGGGTATGGCAGACCCATAAATAGTTATAATTCCGTCTAAACTGTCTAAGCGTTGACGCTAGACTAGTGAAAAGATGGCCGACGACGTAATTAAAGATTAGCTCGAGTGGCACAATAGTGCGTTTCGTTATTGCAAAAATATCTACAAATATTCAACCTCTGGGGTTTGCTGGACCCCCGGGTAGGGTTTAAGGGTTAATCCTGGTCACAACATCATCTTGCAAACCACACTCTTCTCTTATTACACAATTTCTTACCCTGTCATTCAGATTCAGCCCTAACATACTCCTTAACGACCGCATTTCTACTGCGTTCATTCTACTCTCGTGCTTCTTCTACCACACCCAACTTTCACTACCATACGTTAAAGTAGGGACCAAACAGCATCGTGCCACATTTTGACTCTTCACAATAGAGTGCAGGGTCCCATTTACTCTATTTCCCGCATTCACTCGTCGTTCTATATCCTTATCATATCTCCCATCCCTGCGAAAAATCATATTTACCTTTTGTGCATTACACACTTTCAATAAAAATTTCTATTTTAATGTGAAAGAAAAAAGCATCTTTGAAAGAGTTGATGCAAAGACAAATTAATTGTAGCCTGTTGTTGATCGTCGACCGATCAATCCTGCAAGTGGCCTTCTATGTAGGAATTGTATACGCGAAAAAAAATTCAGTTTGAGTAAGTGGCTGGTTGGCGCCCTCATCTACGTATCAACATTTCCCGGTACAATCTCGCCGCGAGGCTGGCATATCCTCATGCGTATGCATTTCTGCATAATCACGTTGGGAGTACGCCATAGACAATGACAAGATCAAAGTCCCGTAAACGTGCTTAGGTGTTGTCCAAATCGGTATGCAATCAAAGTTCAATACACAAGCCAAGTACACAAATTCCAATAATATAAAGTAACGTACGTACGAGCGAGCGCAAGAGTAGGCGATAAATGTCTGACGACGCTGATGATGACAAAGAAGAAAGCGCGTTTCTAGAGCGAGTATCTATAAACTAGTCAATTAGAGTGAAATAAACCAAAAAAACCTGACTTCATACTGGAATAATGAGAATATACCTTTGGCTACATCATCATCATCATTAATAATGACCTCCAGACCGAATTTCGGCCACGGCGGCCTGCCTCAACGGAGGTTTGCCATCGGCGCAGGACAGGATTATAGTGCCCAAGTGTACGCGCAAGCACAGGTGCACTCTCTCTTTCCTCATTCTCGTAATCCGATGGGACGGTAAACCGACACGACCGGAGAGAGATCAGGCGCAGGACCAACGGCTTTACGTGCTTTCCGAGGCACGGGGATGAGACCGTCTGACTCCGGGCATACTGAGAATTTCTTGACAGAGTAAAGTAAAGTAAAGTAAAACATATATTCGTCTGGGTAGGATCTGAATTCAGTTAGAAATCTTATTCCTGAATAGTTTTCAGATTTTCTCACCGCGAGAGTGGTAAGCTTATTGTAACTTTCATTGTGCCGGGGGATCGACGGGTATCGCGTTCTGCTTTTTACAGCGAGCGTTAACTGAGTACCACGGCTCTTCTTGACAGAAAACCCAATAATTCATTTTTTGGCCTGACCCTGGATTCGAACCCAGGACCTCATCATCAGCAGTCGCACTACTACAACCACTAGACCAACGAGGCATCATCATCATTACAACCCTTCACAAGTCCACTGTTTGAAATGGGTCTCCCTCAAGGAATTCCACAAACGGTCCTGAGCCACCTGCATCCATTGACTTTCCTGCACATTTTACCAGGTCTTCACATATGATATTATATTTACTTATTCCTTTGATGTGATACAACCGCTCACCAGATGTCGCTGGTTGGTCCTGAAGTACAGTTATTTCTTACAAAGCAATGTCACCTGTGAAAAGCAGCGTTTTTATATAGTTCTCAGGATTTTTTATTTTATGTAAATGCATCTGCATTTTGAAGATAAAATGTAGATGTACATAGAAATGAATAGCCACAGTATTCTCTTACCATCATATAGATATATACACAACAATACCTTTTGAGGTATACAAGGTTGCCCTATAATTTTTTGCACATTTTAACTACAACACTACTGTAATCTTAACAAATTTTAATTTCTATTTTATTCCTTTTATTTTACAATATGAAGTTTAGTTTCTCCACTTTTCTAATTAAATTTATATATATAAATTACGTGTCACGTTGTTTGTCTGCGATGGACTCCTAAACTACTTAACCGATTTTGATCAAATTTGCACACCGTGTGCAGTTTGGTCCAACTTGAGAGATAGGATAGTTTTTTCCATGAGTGAACCACATATTTTTTTGCGGATTTAAGGGTTTTTTAATAGGACATGACAAAGGGTTGTCAAAAGGGGCAGTACAACGTCTGGCTGGCAAGCTAGTAAAATGTATATTTTCCTAACAATTTAAATTTCTCCTCCGTTAAATCTGTCAAATATTTCACCTCATTCGAAAGCGGCGCCGCCCTGTCGGCAGAAAAGGTTGTGGGAGCTTGGAAATATCAATCGCCTGTCTATCAGGGTTTTTAATACTTTGACGTTAATAAGCACAATCAACGTAACCAAACTTTCTCAAGTGCGTTACAGCGAATTTACGCTATTATAAAAATTTTGATTCAGTTTTCTCGTATACAGTTCAGCCGTATACGTTCGTGGTACTCTGTGAGATTGTAATCCTCGCGTGACCCATACGTGCTACAGCTATATTATAGCTGCAGCATGGCTCTACCACGTATAAAAACATACAGTTCATTATTTTTGTGAAACACTAACTGTAACACTAGGGACTACGCCCATATGTTTGTATACGCCACTGGAAACCGCACAAAAAAATCAGTATACGACAATTTATAAACCCGCTGCTAAATAACACGTAACTCTACTTTACTTACAGTATATATCTAGTTTTATTTGCCTCAGGTCGGCACTTAGTTTATCTTCAGTTCGCAAGTTTAGAGGAAAAGCCGCTTTGACACCGCTGTCAAAACAAGGCCGATACTACCCGACGCGCCAAAGCCCGCAAGTTGATTACTTCAACAAACAAATATATAACTAGCCTAGATTTTATATACGTAAATACTTTGGAAATATATTTTTAATCTTGTGTTGACATAATATAAAGTCTATTATGTAGCAAGTGTTTGACTTCTATCCCTCGTGATGGTAATTGGTAATGCAGCCAAAGATTGTAAACGGCATTGACTTATCTTAACAAAACTCTATTCACTCTTGCCTTGAAGACACCCACATTGTCACCA